AAGAAAGACTGTAAAAAGAGACAGAGAAGGTCATTACATAGTGATAAAGGAGTAAATTTAATAAAAGAATATAACAATTGTAAATACCCATGTATCCAGCATAGAAACACCCAAGTATATAAATCAAATATTAACAGTAATACAATAATAGTTGGGGACTTAGATATCCCACTTATCTCAGTAAACAGATTATACAGACAAGAAATTAATAAGGAAATAATGGCCTTAAATGCCACCTTAGATTATACATTTTTCTCAAGTGTACATGGAACATTTTACAGAATAGACCACATATTAGGCCATAAAACAAACCTCAATAAATTCAACAAGATTGAAATTATATCAAGCATATTTTCTGACTACAATAGCATAAAATTAAAAATCACTATAGGAAGAAAACTGGAAAAAAATACAGATGTGGAGATTAAACAATATATTATTAAACCAATGAATCAAAGAGGAAATCAAAAATGACTTGAAACAAATGAATGAAAACACAGCTTTATAAAATGTATGGGATGCATCAAAAGCAAGTCTATGTCAAGGAGCAGGAAAAATCCTAAACAAACAATTAAACTTTACACCTAAAGGAACAAGAAAAAGAAGAGCAGACTGAAGCCAAAGTAAGTAGAAGGAAGGAAATAATAAACACCAGAGCCAAAAAAAATCAAAATAGAGACTTAAAAAAAATAGAAAAAAAAATCGATGAAACTAAGAGCTGGTTCTTTAAAAGGACACAAAATATTAGCAAGACTCATCGAGTAAAAAAGAGAGAACCTAGATAAATAAAATCAGAAAGGAAGGAGCAGAGGATACAGCTGACATCACAGAAATACAAGGGATCATTACAAAATATTGTGAACAATCATATGCCAACAAATTGGACAAATTTCTAGAAACATATAACCTTCCAAGATTAAACCAGGAAGAAACAGAGAATCTAAACATACCAATTACTAGCAATGAAATTGAAGCAATAAAAAAAATTTCAACAAAACCCAGAACCAGCCAGCTTCATGGGTAAATTCTACCAAACATTTAAGAGTTAATGCCTATCTTTCTCAAATGATTCCAAAAAATTTAAGAGGAGGAGTACTTCCAAACTCATTCTACAAGGCTAAAATTACCCTAATGCCAAAACCAGATAAGGACACCACACAAAATAGAATTACAGACTGGAATCTCCAATGAACATAGGTACCAAAATTCTCAACAAAATACTAGCAAACCAAATTCAATACATTAAAAGGATTATATGCTATGATCAAGTCAGATTTATATTACCATGCAAGGGTGGTTTAGCAACCACAAAACAATTGATGTGAGCCATAGGCGGTTAGCTCAGTTGGTTGGAATGTCCTTCCAATGCACCAAGGTTGTGAGTTCAATCCCCGGACAGAGCACATGCAAGAATAAACCAGTGAATGCATAAATATGTGGAACAACAAAAATCAATGTTTCTCTCTCACACACACATCAATAAATTAAACAATGTAAAAGAAAACAATTGATGTGACTTATCACATCAATATAATCAAGATATAATCATCTCAATAGAGTCAAAAAAGCATTTGACAAAATTCAACGTCTATTTATGATAAAAACTCAACAAAGTGGATATAGCAGGAACTTACTTCAACATATTAAAGGCTATGTATGACAAGCCCACAACTATCATCATACTCAGTGGTGAAAAGTTGATAACTTTTCCTCTAAGATCAGGATCAAAACAAGGATGTGCATTTTTACCACTTAAATGCAACACAGTATTAGAATTCCTAGCCACAGCTCAAAATCAAAAGAATTAAAAGGCATCCAAATTGGAAAGAAAGAAGATGTCACTATTTGCTGATGATACCATATATAGAAAACTAAATAATCCACCAAAAATTAGATGAATGAATAAAGTAGTGGAATACAAAATTAATACAGAAATTCATTGATTTTCTATATACTAATAGCAAATGACCAGAAAGAGAAATTAAGGAAACAATTCCATTTACAGTTTAATAAAAAAGAATAAAATATCTAGGGGTAAATTTAACCAAGGGGGTGAGAGACCTGTACTCTAAAAACTATAAGACACTGAAGAAAGAAATTGAAGAGAACACAAATATATGGAATGCTATACCATGTTTATGGATTATAAGGATTAATATCATTAATGACCATACTACACAAGGCAATTTCTATCAAAATACCAATGACATTCCTCTCAGACCTAAAACAAATAATCCTAAAACTTATGTGAAACCACTAAAGACCATGAATGCCAAAGTAACCTTGAGAAAGAAGAACAAAGCTGGAGGTATCACAGTCCTTGATTTTAAACTACACTATAAAACTATAATAATCAAAACAATATGGTACTGGTCAATACAATATATCAATGAAACAGAATAGAAAGCCCAAAAATAAATCTTTGCATATGTGGTCAAGTTACAATAATGGACAAGAATATACAATAAAAGAATAATAGTCTCTTCAAGAAGTGATGTTGGGAAAACTGGACCACTCTCTCATATCATGTACCAAAAAAAATAAAAATAGATTAAAGATTGAAATATAAGGCCTGATACCATAAAACTCCTAAAAGAAAACATAGGTAGTAAGTTATTTGACATCAGTCTGAGTAATATCTCTTTGGATATGTCCTTTCATAAAAAGAAATAAAAGCAACAATATACAAATTGGACTTCATCAAACTAAAAAACTTCTGTACAGGGAACAAAACCATCAACAAACCAAAAAGACAACCTACTGAATGGAAGAACATATTCTCAAATTATATAACCAATGAGGGATTGATATCCAAAATATAAGGAATTTATACAAGTCAGTAACAAAAAATAATCTTATCAAAATATGGTCAGAGAACATAAAGAGACTTTTCTCCATAGAAGACACACAAATGGCCAGCAGACATATGAAAAGATGCTCAACATCACTAATAAGGGAAGTGCAAATCAAAAACAAGAGATACCACCTCACACTTGTCAGAATGGCTATTATGCAAAAGTCAACAAATAACGTTTGTTGCTGAGGATGTGGAGAAAAAAGAACCCTTGTGCACTGTGTGTGGAACTGCAAATTGGTACAGCCACTATGGAAAACAAGGTGGAGCTCCCTAAAAATTTTCAAAATAAATCTGGGTATTTATCCAAATCAAATCAAACATTAATTTGAAAAGATTATGTTCATTGTAGCATTATCTACAATAGCCAAGATATGGAAGCAACCTAGGTGCCCATCAGTAGTTGAATGGATAAAGATATGACACACACACACAGTAGAATACTACTCAGCCATAAAAAAGAATGATGTTTTACCATTTGCAACAACATGGATGGAACTAGAGGGTATTATGCTAGGTGAAATCAGCTGGACAGAGAAAGATAGATGCCATATGATTTCACTCCTGTGGAATCTAAAAACAGACTCATAAAGACAGAGTAGCTGCCAGATGGGAGAGGAGATGGGTGGAAAAGTGAAGGAGAATGTAGTCAATAATATTGTGATAAGCTTGCACAGTGATAGATGATTACTAGAATTAGTATGGTGAGCACATTACGGAATTTGACTGTCAAATCAGTATGTTTTATACCTGAAACTAATATATTTTATGCCAACTATTTAAATTTAAAACACACACACCTAAGTGACAATCTCTATTTTACCATTCAACTGGGTCCTCTGAACTCTCCATTAATTTCAACAATGGAAGAAGCAGACCGACTACTAAACTCATCTTATTTGGGTCATGACTGGCTTAGGAGATTCTGAGAAGACAATGACCATGGAGTTGAACCTGAAATTCTGACATAACTGAGGAGAAAATTAATTAAGTCGGGTAGCCATGAAGGTAAGAGAGAAAATTAGTAAATTACTGATGTTTTCTTTCATAGTTTTTTAACTGAAGCAAAACATCTATTGTTAAAGTCTACTATGTACATATGTGTCTTTTATCATGCTAGGAAACACAGCCTAGGTCACCATTCAGTGACCCAAAGTGGCCCATAACCTGGAAACTGACTCTCTCTCTAGTGTATGAGACTTAAGATGCGAATGCTGCTGTTTGTTCACCTCCGTTTTCTGCGTTTCCTAAGAGTTACCATGTAGAAACCGCTTTCCAGGAAGCCCTTCTATTAGGGAGCAGTTAGGGTCCGCTGCTCACCATTCACAGCAGTTTGGGGCCCATTGGAGCCCATGTAGATTACGAGTTTAGAGATTTGGTGACTTTAATGTGTTCAACTTTTTGTAATGAGAGTTGAAAACAAAGCTATTATAAGGATCTCCTTCTGTACTAAAAGCTTAGAGAAAATACATAGAACCTGCACATTTTAAAAAACAAAACAGTTGCATTAAAAATATATATATGAAGAAACAAAAACAGCAGACTCCCAGCTGAGGCAATCATCACATTTTATGGATACTCAGTCAAAAGCTTTCACATTTAACGATTAAAAAGACACTGAGGAAGAAGGTAATGAATGTTCCGTTTTGATACTGTAAACCTGTTGTTTATATTTACTGAGTTCTCAACATTTTCAGCTGCTTCTGCCTAAAATCTGAGGTGGAAATATTTGGGATATGGAAGAGTATTATGAATCAAGACACCCAAAATACTTTGAAGAACCAGAATTTTCAAAATTTCAGTGGACTGAGATGCAAAAAAAAAAAAAATCATTTTAAGTAATTATTCACACCCTGAAACAATTTAAGGTATTTGCTTGTACATTGTCACACCTATGACAATTTATAAGCAAATACCAAGATGCAAACTCAGAGATGCTATTCTTTAAAAGAGAAATTCAAAATAAAAGCAGAATAATGCCTACTTCTGTTTCATTGGATTACATTCTCTTCATTAGCTCCACCAAATCCAGAAACTTATAATATTATATTGTCTTATATAGGGATACAGCTCAAACACAGAAGATTATTTTTTTGGCAGAATTTTGTGGTTGTATTAACACAAATACGATGTGTACACAATGTGTCTATTCATTTTCTTCGCTGCGCAGCCTGGCATTGGGATTGGTGACTCTGTTGGCCAGCTGGGCTGCTCTTTCCACAATGGCTTTGCGGTTCTTTGAGGAAACGTTGTGAGCAATCTCAGCACAGTGAGATCTGTTGCACATCAGCAGCACTTCAAGCTCCTTGACGTGGTGGGCCAGAAACTTACGGAAGCCACTGGGCAGCATGTGTTTTCTTTTCTTGTTGCTCCCATAACCAATGCTGGGCATCAAGATCTGGCCCTTGAATCTTCTGCGCACCCTATTGTCAATCTTGGGTTTCACGAGGGGTCTGAGGGCAGCCATGGTGCCGAGGAGGAGACTGCAGCCAACTCCATAGGCATCGCCGAGGCAGACTCAAACACAGAAGATTTTTTAAATTATTATAAATTTATGAAGTAACCGGAATGAAAAACTGGCATCCAATCTTTCCAGTAAGACAATGCTTTTTCTTTCCAATATATCCAGTATGTCATTACTGCCACAGAATATCTGTTATCACGCCTCCTCATAGTAGACAGTATAGAAATAAGTTAAACAGACATAATACTTATTAATTGAAAACCTTAAAAGAAAATAAACAAGTATGTCAAACTCTGCTTTCTATTTATATTCAGTCCTGGTCTGTTCCTACATTCTCTGTCTATCATATGTAGTTATCAAACTAAATGACAGCAGCAAATATTGGGGGGAAAGTAATAAAATATTTATAGCAGAAATAATATTAGCTCAATGTGCTAAATTTAGCCATATATACTAATTCAGGGTAAATACAGAAAAGGTATTAACTTAAACATTTTGATTACTTTGACCAGTGAAGAGTGAGTTACAAAAACCATTCATGTAAACAGTATTTAAGGAGCTCTTACGTGCTATGCACTGTAATTGAGGCCAGGCATATGCAGTGAACCAGATGGTCAAGGTCCTCACTTACCTCAAATACAAACTAAAAGAAAAATCAACCACGATAATATGAGAGGAATTGGTAACAGGAAGGAATAGAAATGTTTGGGTAGTCAGGGAAACCATTTTTGAGGAGGTGACATTTAAACTGAAACCTGATTGACAAGTGGCTCCAGCCAGAAACACTCTTGGTAAAAAGAACTTCAGGTACAAGGGGCTGGCTGGATGGAAGGAAGAAATGCGCTATGGGTTTAATTGCAATGAACACCGGCCCCTACATTCATGGTGCATGCCTCTGCCATTTCCAGCGAATCGGTTGTGCATAGACACAACTCACTGTGGGGTTTCCTCCCCATGGAGTAAAAAATGGGTCTAGGGTGGGACCCTCAGTCTAGAAAAAGCTTACTTGATAGCCATGATAGAACCCTGCTTAGTTCATCTTTAGAAGGTTCATGAGCTGTTTTTGCATCTTGACTCTTAAGTAGTGTCTTTGTACAAAGTCTGCAGAGATGAATATCAACACTTGGCATGCCATCTGCATAGGGCTAATTATATACACTTTGTTATTTGTCACTATAAGATATTTCAGAATAAAATGTGCAAACCATCTGCCAATAACTTTATTCACATTTCTTAGATCATCAACAAGAAACCTTATACTTCCTTTTCCCCAAGGGAACACAAATTGTAATGTGCACAAGGTGGGTAGATGGGGGGAAAAAAAATCTAAAAATGGCTTTGTCATGTACCAAAAAAAATAGGAGGTGTCTTCAGTAGAATGTCCTGGAATCACTTGTATCCATTACTCTCCGTGTGTCCTCGGCATTGCATTATGCAAACTAAACTTAACCCCCCAAGTGTCAGGCACCAGTGCTTTTGGCATTGTGTATGTTCATGATTGCAGGGTAAGGAAAAACAAAGAACCCATGAGCTTAAAATAAATTGCAGTTTGCCATTTGATTATGTAAAATGTGGTTGCATGATCCCCAAATCACGTTTTATGCACAAAGGCAAAACCAGCTTTTGTGTTTTGAAAAGCAGGTGTGCAATTATTCCTGCAAAGAAAAAGAGTCATTTGCAGTTGATTTTGGGGGGAGATGATTGAGCAATTACAGACGTACATGCTAATTTTGTTGCACCCTCTGACCATCTTCTGCTTATAAAGTGGATAGGCTTTCTCCCTCTCTGATCCCAGAAAGAAGCTGCAGAAACAAAGATAAGGAAGTTGGACAATTTATGCAGTTGCCAGTGGACAGAAAACTGGCACCACTTGTTCAAGCATTTCTCACTGAATACTTGTCATGGCCTGGCATTTAATAACACACCCAGGCAAAGTTTAATACCCATCTTACTGAAAGTAAGTTGTTCACACACACCCACAGAAAGCCAAGGATTCAGTATTGCTTGCAACATAAATAATGTTTAATTCTTCTTTCTAATAGTCCATTTGGAAAGAAATTGAGAGGTGAAGGTAGAAGATTAAAACAGCCTATACTTTGATTTGGACTTCGATTCACTTTCTTGTTACCTGAGCGTCTCTCAAAGACAAGGGCCGTGTCTTCACTATGATACGAGATTAGGACGTGGATGATTCTATAAGGCGGAAAAGTGACAGTTCTTCACTACCTGAGCACTTTCACTGCTTGAGTTCTGAAAATTTGCCAAGATTTGAACTATAATTAATACTATAAATTGTTTATTTCCAAAATTAAAATTTTATAAAGTTGGACTAAGTATATACATCTATAATTTTTATGCGCGCACACACACACAGAGATCTTGATATTTTATGTCTACATTCTAAGGATCACATGAAAAATCTCTCATTGTAGAAAACTATTTTACATAATTCAAAATCATTGAAATGTCAATTATGTTTGAAAATTATCCCATTGAAGCTGCTTGGGAATATTCAAATTATTTTGATAGGGTAACTGACAAACCTTTAGAATAGAAACACTTGGTATAAATGAATTATAGACAAGCATTAGACATAATCTATCTTAATATCCTCGATAATAAGATGGAAAACATATCTAAATACTAATTAATTATAGATTACATTAACATACATAAATGACCCGATCTAAAGGGTATAGACACATGAATCAATACAACTTGAAGAAAAGGCTCAAAGCACATACTATGGTATTTCATCCCTGACCATTTCATTCAAATCCATGAATGCTTTGTATGAGGAAAATTAGATGCCTATTATATGCTAATTAAAAAATACTAAGAGAAATAGCCAAAACAAGGGGTGAGGTTAGGATTAAAACTGACAGGGTAAAATAATGGGCCAAGTTTATCAAAAAGAAAATGAAAACAGCAAAATATAGTCTGGACTTTATAAAAAGTGCATTTTATCACAACTCTGGAAGCACGGGGTAGGCTGGAATCTTTGCTGCACCATGTAGTCATTGTATACGCAGGAACAAGTTGATTAACCTCTTTGTGTTTTAATTTCTTCATCTGTAAAATGGATAGAGTAAAGAGTACTGATTTATTATGAATGCTGTAGAATGAATGAATTTAAAGGATATTCAGGCACAGAGTCAAATCTCAATGAATGTTAAAGTACTGTTTTGTTTGTTTGGGAAAAAAAGGAGTGGGTTGTTTTGGCTACAAGTTCAATGTGAATCAACAGTGTCGTGAGACTGCTAAAATACATTGACTTGATTAAAAGAAGTAAAATATCAAGACTGAGAAGTCTCTGGGAATGTAGGCATGTGCCAACCCAGCCCCTGGCTACACTTTTTTTAAAAATATATATCTTCCTTCTGCTGTCTCTTTGTTTCTCTGTGTGCATCTTTTTTAAACATTTTTCACTCCCTCCTGTACCACTTCTTTTCTGTCACTTTAGAAGAAAACTCAACATTCTTCAGCGCATTTAGGGGAGAGCAAAGACTAGCTGGTGAAGGCTGGAAGTAGGGTCCCAAGGTTGGCAACTTGTAAACAGAGGAAGCCAGGTTCAGGAAGGAGAAGACATGCTGAGGAGCAAAGAGAGCTGTTTTCAAGACCACCAAAGTCACACAGTTTAAACCAGGTCTGTGCAGTTTAGCAGGAAACAAAAACGAATGAATGGAGAAGTTAAGAGAAGAAATTTGGATTTAAAAAAATACCTAACTTTTAACCTAACATGGTCTGGAAGTAAAAATAGTCTCTTCAAAAAAGGAAACCTATACACTGTTGGTAGGAAGGTACATTGGTGCAGCCACTAGAAAAAACAGTATGGAGGTTTCTCAAACAATTAAAAATAGAACTATCATATGGTCTAGCAATCTCACTTCTAGGTATACATCTGAAGTAAATGAAATCAATATTGTGAAGAGATATCTACACCCCCATGAACACTGAAGCATTGTTCACAATAGCTAAGACATGTAAACAACCTAAGTGCCACAAATACATGAATGGAAAAGAAGAAAATTCTGCAATATGTGGCAAAAGGAGTGGACCTTGAGGGCATCATGCTAAGTGAAATAAGCCAGACAGAGAAAGACAAATACTGTATGGTTTCAGTTGTATGTGGAATCTTGAAAAAGTCAAACTCGTAGAAAAAGAGCACATCAGTAGTTACCAGGGGTAGGGTGGGCACGGATGGAGAGAGATTGGTCAAAGGGTACAAACTTCCGGTTATAAGATAAATATGTTCTGAGGAATCTAATGTACATCATGGTGAATAGAGTTAATACTGTATTAATATATGCTTGAAAGTTAAGAGGATAAATCTTTTTTTTTTTTCATCCTCATCTGAGGATATTTTTCTATTTATCTTCAGATAGACTGGGAGGGAGGGAGCGAGGAAGAGAGAGGCACATCGACTGGCTGCCTCCACATGACCCCGACCAAGGCCGGGGACGAACTGCAACCGAGGTACGTGCCCTTGACCGGACTCAAACCCATGACTCATTGGTCTTCGGGCCAATGCAAGAGAGTAAATCTTAAATGTTCTCACCATTAAAACAAGTAATTATGTGAGGGGATAATGTGTTTGTTAATCTTGTTGTGGTAATCATTTTGCAATCTATTTGTGTATTAAATTATCTCACTGTATGCCTTAAACTTAACACAAAGTAATGTGTCAGTGATATCTCATCATAGCGGAAAAAAAGAACAGAACAGTCTCCTCACGGAGCAGTGCACTTCGGCCCCCAGACGTCCAGAAAGCCGCTGGAGAGCCTGTGATGACGCAACAGCTGGACACCTGGAGGAGGCCTGGCAGCCCAACCATTGTCACAGGCAACACAGATAACTTCGCTGTGGTCTGACCGACAACAGAGGCCCTCATGTGAAGCAAACAAGTAACAACAAATAGCATTTTGATCCAAAAATGGAACAAGATTTGAACTGTTCCATTGGCTCAAGATAGTGAAGGCTCTTGTAAAAGTAGAAAATACTAT